TCATCTAGAAATGGATGTCTGTATCCTTGAACTCCAAGGAACTCAATTCTTAGGAAACTTTTTTTTGTTTTGTTTTCCTTTGCCTTAAAGCTAAGATGAAAATAAATTGTTCTTTTCTAGGTCACATTTGAGTGCTTCCATCTCCAGAGCCCCTTAAATAGATACTTCACTGCTATAATAGTAATCATTGAAGTCTCCTAAGGTAATTAAGATGTTCACCAGTTTGGTACTGGGATCTCAAGGACAGACATGTCAACTAAAAATGTCAGGTCAACTTGCAGGCATAACCTACTACAGCCAAAAAAAAAAAAAAAAAAAAAAGCCAAACTCCTATAGTTATGCTCTCCTGCTCTCAGCCCCTCTAGTATTAAATATAGATTTCAGGAAACTTTGCTTAAAATTATCTTCAATCAAATGAAGAATGTCAGATGAAACACAGAAGAGCCTCAAATCACAAATCACATTCATTCTGAGAAAAAGAGCTGCTACATGCTAAATTCCTTTTCTTTTCCCAAATGATCTTGGAGCATACAATTACCACATGCTCTTAACTCTTAGATTGGATCTAGATTTTTATTTTTTTAATCAAAAGCTGAGTACAATTTTTAAGAATTTCTCCCATGATAAAAATAATATTTCTACACCCAAGGAATTGTAGAGATAATCAATTATTCTTACATAACAGGTACTTACTGTGAAAATAATGTCCTGGACCGAACAATAAACTTGAACACATATTCCAAAGCTTTCAGAGTCCTCAGAATTGGCTCACATTGCTCCCCTCTGCTGGAAGTATCCAAGTAAGTCTTCAACACTGTCATCAATTTCCTGAGGGGATAATATTTTCCAAATACATCTTTTTCTAGCTCACAGCTTGGTAATTAATTTGCTCAGTAAATTATAAGGCATTCAATCAGAGGTCAAAGGTGATAGTATAGCCAAGCTCACTATTTGTTTGCAAGCATAAATATAACTGCTTAAAAATGTATTTAATACAAGGAACGAACAAATACTTCCTGTCTATAAAAAGCCACTGAAAGAAAAAGTAGTTATAAAAAAATCTTTTGACTTAGAAAACCAGGC